GCACAGGGGTTACTCCTGGCTCATGCACTCAGGAATTACTTTTGGCAGTGCTGGGGGATGCTGGGAATCGAACCCGGTTCAGCCGTGTGCAAGGCAAATGCCCTACCCGCTGTAGCCCCTGGCTTGCGCTCTCTCTCTCTCTCTCTCTCTCTCTCTCTCTCTCTCTCTCTCTCTGCTTTTTGGGTGACACCTGGCTATGCACAGGGGTCACTCCTGGCTCTGCACTCAGGAATGGCTCCTGGCAGTGCTCGGGGGACCATATGGGATGCTGGGAATTGAACCCGGGTTGGCCATGTGCAAGACAAATGCCCTACCCGCTGTAGCCCCTGGTGCTCTCTCTTTAATGCTTTGATTCTCCTTCCGTTGGTTGTCATCAACCCTGCCACAGTGTATGGATGCAGAGCGCTCATGCTGGCAGGTGCACGCTTGGCTGTGGTGCTCACACACTTGGTTGTGGTGATTGTCAGGTTGTGCTCACTCATATTGTTGCTGGGAGAAGCAGTGCTGTGTGGACACTGTGTTGGGCTGGACCGTGGACAGTATGGAGGGCTGAGGCTCTCACTCATGGTTTAACACATGCAAAGTGGCTTTCTCTCACAGAGAATGCCTTTGACCCCACCTTTTGTCTCTTAATATTTTGTTTTTGTTGTTTGTATATTTACTTATCCATCCATTCACTGGCTCTCCCCACCTCACTTTCTCTGCTTCCCTGCACTGCTTTACCCAATGCTGTTGCAATCACTGTGTCACTGTCATCCTGTTGTTCATCGATTGCCCCAGTAATGTCTCCTTCGTCCTAGCCCTGAGATTTTAAGAAGTGCCACATTCGAGGTTCTTTCAGGGTGAGGAGAATGAGACCCATCATTGTTACTGGTTTTCGGCATATTGAATATGCCACGGGGAGTTTGCCAGACTCTGCCGTGTGGGCAGGATACTTTTGGTAGCCTGCCGGGTTCTCCAGAGTAAGAACTAGATAATAAGATGTCATGCGGCCGCGAATGTGGCCATGCACTTCCTGGAGCAGGGTTTTATAGACTCTGGGTCTTGGCTGTTGATGGGATTACATGGTGCTGGGGGCAGTTGGTGGGTGTAAAGCCTACATACTGGAAGGTGGGGGATCTGGGTGGAGGAGGCCCCAGTCTCAATCCGAGCAGGCTTGGAGATCTATGCCCCGGGTCCCGCACACCTGGGTTCCTCTGTTGGTTCCTTCATGCATGAGGCTCATCAGAACGTGTGGAGAGTGGTCTTCAGTGTGGCTGTGGCTGGCACTGGAGGTCTTCAGCTGCTGGGGCTTTGCTCGGTATGGGGAGGGAAACTCAACGCATCCTCCTCCATGGGCCCCGTTGAGGACAGCCAGGTGTGGAGGCAGGAGACTCTGTTGCAATATGTCAAAGAAACCCCTGGCATCTCATTATTCCGTCTGTTAAAGACTCAGGGTGCATCTCGAACAAATAAGGCCTCTTGTGTGGGAACATCTTCATACTATCCCATTATCAGCACTTCAAACTCCCACAGTAGCGTCTTAGTCTCCTCTGATGTGCGGTTCTGCACCGACTTCTCTGCCCCAAGCCGGTCCTTGCCCAGTTGCCCATTCCAGGCGAGGACTCACAGAGTCTGCGCGATGTGCCGGCATGATGGGCCTCATCTATTTGTCTTAGTCGATGAGGGTTCCCCACCCTTCTGTCCTTGTTTACTTGAAGCACTGGATTATTTGTCCCAAATTTCCCCATGTTTGGGATTTGTCATCCTTTCAGTGTCACTTAAAAATGCGCTCTTGATGGGGTATTTCCTGCGAGGAGGCAGATGAGGGCTCAGGGAGACTCAGCTGAATATTTCTTTTGGTGAGAAACATTCAGTGGACGGGCTGAGCCCTTCCCTGGCTCCCTGCAGTGGTCTCTGGGTCACTTTCCCATCACCCCCCACCCCCCATTCAGATTGTCGCCTGACCCACCCATGGGGAAGTTTCCTCGTCCTTCCCAGCTTGATCGATTGCAGCAGCCATTGATGAGCAATGCCTGGTTTCATTATTTTATTGGCATCGCAAAACGTTGCTTTTTCGGTTTCTCTCTCTCCTTCTGCTCAAGATAGCTAGAATTCCTCTAGAAAGAAAACTCTTGACTTTGTTAACTGTTCTGTTACCCTGACATGTGTGCTTCTTTTCCTCCTCTCTTTTCTCTTTTCAGAATAATGAGCCAGGTCCAGCGATATAGCTCCATGGCAAGGCACTTGCCTCATTTGTTCGCATATATCAGGGCCTGGGTTCAATCCCTACTGTGGGTGCAATCCCTGGCATTGTCACCCCCAAACCCTAGTGAAATAAGACAATAGTGGTTTTCTGTTTCTTTTTTCTTTTGGGGGGTCACACCTGGCAATGCTAAGGGGTTACTCCTGGCTCTGTTCTCAGGAATTACTCCTGGCATTGCTTGGGGGACTATCTGGGATAACAGGGATCAAACTGGGGTCGGCCGTGTGCAAGGCAAACACCCTCTTGGCTGTATTACCGCTCCTGCACTGGAATAAGACAATAATGAATTGCTGCCCTAATCAGCCTCCTGGGGTGAAACATCTTTGTGTGTGTGTGTGTGTGTGTGTGTGTGTGCATGCGTGTGCGCACGCGTTCATGCGTGTACATGCATGCTTGTATGTTTGTGTGTATGTGTATGTGTATGTGTGTTTGTGTGTATGTTTGTGTATGTGTATTTATGTGTGTATGTGTATATGTGTGTGCATTCGTGCGTGCGTGTGTGTGTGTGTGTGTGTGTGTGCGCGCACGTGTGCACATCTGGCAGTGCTTGTGGAACCAAGTGATACAGGTGATAGAGCCCCGGGCACCTGCATGCAAAACATGTGCTTTCACCTTTGGGCTGTCGCTCCAGCTCCAGCTTGGTTCTTTTTCACAGTTCTCATTTTAAATACATCTGGCTCTGTTTCAGTGCCTTTCTGTCATGATTCTTCTTGATGCTCAAACTCTCCCATCTTTCGCCATTGGGAATCTTACCAATTGAGCATGTGAGTTCTTTAGATATTATCATACTACTTTTAGAAGTTGTCTTTCTTTTCTGACACAGGATATGCTTGGATCTGTTTCACTGGGTATGTTTGCCGCGCCGTTTCTTTCAGGGGAAAACATAAAGGCTGGAGTCTGGGACCCAGGGGATGTCTCACAGGGCTGGCGTTCAGGCTTTGCGTGCCAGAATCCCAGGCTCCATCCCTGCCCAACATGGTCCCCGAGCTCTGTCAGGAGTAGCCCTGAGCATCTTGCTGGGAGTGGTCCCTGAGTAGCACTGGGTATGACCTCCCACTCCATTTTTTTTTTTATGTAGGAGTACTGCTATTTATTCAGCCACTGATTAGCTGATTGAATTGGGCATGAATTCTACCTTACTTTTTTTTTCCATTTTTTATAATCTTATTTATTGAATCAACGTGAGAGCAGTTACAAAGCTTTCAGGTTTAAGTCTTGGTCATACAGTGAAACACCTGTACCCTCACCAGTACCCATTCTCCACCACCAAAAACCCCAGTATACCCCCATCCCACATCCTCCCCCTACCTGTGGGGCAGATGATTTCCACATTACCTCTCTTTTTTTTTCTTTTTGGGTCACACCTGGAGATGCTCAGGGGTTACTCCTGGCTCATGCACTCAGGAATTGCTCCTGGCGGTACTCGGGGGACCATATGGGATGCTGGGAATCGAACCTGTGTCGGCCATGTTGGCTGCGTGCAAGGCAAACGCCCTACCCACTGGGCTATCGCTCCAGCCCCTCCACATTACCTCTCTTTACTTTGATCACATTCAATATTTTGACACCAGACCCACCATTATTATTTGAGATTTTACCCCAACAACTCAGATCTGCTGAAAGGGCAACAGTAGACAATTTGTTTTCTATTGCTGGTTAAGAATAACATGCGATTTTGAAATTCCAAAAATGTTAACGCTTAAATCTGGAGGGATTTCTGCAAAACCTGCTGGGTTCCAAGATTTGTACGAGTCTCTGGGATCATGGCCATTAAGCAGCTTGATCAGGAGCCAGGAAGGCTGTTCATGGGTGGCGACTCGGGGTCTCGTTGGGGTGGGGAGGAAAGGGCCGGCTTCACCCCCATCCCGTGAGGCCCCGTGTGTCTCGTCACTGAGGGCCCAAACCTGACTGTTCAGTGGCCTCTGGAGGATGGCAGCCACCGAGCCGCCAAGAGGGAGCAGGCGGAGGGAGAGCACTCTTTCCCCCCTGGGGTGGCCCGGTGACAGTAACCTACTGTGGGGTCTGGACGCATTTCTGCCAAAAGCTGCTGGGTTTTGAGATTTGTTTCTGAGTCTCTGGGATCATGGCTGTTAGGCAGCTTGATCAGGAGCCAGAGAGGCCTTACGTGGGCGGCAACTTGGGTTCTCTTTGGGACGGGGAGGAAAGGGCCAGCTCCACCCCCATCCCGTGAGGTCCTGTGTGTCTCATCACTGTGGGCCCAAACCTGACTGTCCAGTGGCCTCTGGAGGACGGCGGCCACCGGGCCGCCAGGGGGAACAGGCCAAGGCACAAAACCTATTTCCACCTGGGTTGGCCCAGCGCTGGTAATCTACTGCAGGGACCAGATGCATTTCTGCCAAAAGTCATTGGGTTTCGAGATTTGTTTCTGAGTCTCTGATTCATGGCCATTAAGCAGATTGATCAGGAACCTGAGAGGCCTTGCCTCCAATTATATAGCTGAGCCCAAGGTGGTTTGTGGCTGTCTCCGACATACCTAACTTTTGGCTGTTTACTTTCTTGGTAAACTATGCCCCAAGTTTTTGGGATCTTTTGGCTAAAGGCACAGCAACAATTTTGGGGTATCTGGAAGTCTGAAGGTGCCATCAGGCTGCTGGTACAGGTACAGATTGACCTGCTGGCGGCACCATATACCCCCCCACTCCATTTTTTAAAAAAGAGTATAATCTAGGGCCAGAGTAATAGTACAGTGGGTAGGTCATTTGCCTGGCATTCATTTCCCAGCATCCACGGGAATAACCAGCCAGGAATAACCCTTGAACATTGCCAGGTGTGACCCAAAAAGCCAAAAAAAAAAAAAAAGTAGAACACGAAGGGTTTTTGTTTGTTTGTTTTGTGGCCACACCCAGGGACTTACTCTTGGCTCTACACTCAGGAATTACTCCTGATGGAGTTCAGGGGGGACCATATGGGATGTCGGGGATCGAACCCAAACCCAGGTTGGCTGCATGTAAGAGTAGACTGCTTGCTCTACCATCTCTGTGGCCCCATATTCCACTGTGTTTTAAGTGTCACCTACTCGACATAAAGGAATGTTCACTAGGATTGTCTTGATTCTGATTTGGAGGGAATTGCTTCTCTTGTTTTTTTTTTTTGTTGTTTTTACTCAATTAAATTTATATGTGAGTCATTTATACACGTGTCAAAAATGTGAAACAAGATCTAGCCAAAGACATTCTGTCTCCCTCTCCGTGTCCTCTGCCTCCTCCCTCCCTCTGTCTTTCCCTAGTCATTTTCCGTAAATGCAGACGTTCTGTCCGGAGATGTAGGACTGCACTGAGTCCTGCAGTTGGCTCTCTGGAGGCTCTGTCCTGGGTCTGCACCCCTACAGGGACTCTCTCCTCATCCCTTTCTCTGCTGCAGCACGGGAGGGGGGCTGGCCCTCTGGATTAGGTCCCATCTGTGCCCTTACCAGTAGAGCTCCGCAGGGCATCTGAACGTGAGTTGCAGGGGCCAGAGCAGAGCACAGTGGACTTGGTGGAGCCTGTTAGAAGGCCACTGCCACCATCTCTGAGTTCGTTCACCTTTCCACTGTTGCCGTTTTCCGGGCATTCATGCTTGCTGGCACCAGAGACTCAACAAGAAGTGGTGTTGGTGAAAGCATTTAGCAGTGTGTGTGTGTGTGTGTGTGTGTGTGTGTGTGTGTGTGTGTAGGGTAGTGTTGGGGATCAAGTGAGGGATTTGAATGCTGGTGGGAAGGACAGAAAAATCATGTGCGTGGCCTTTCTGTCTGTTCTTTCTGCCTCCAAGGTCTTCCTGGTGAACTTCTATTCACCCTCCAAGGCCCCATCTTGGTCCCCACACCTAGGGAAGCAAGCATTAGCAAGACAGTGCCTTCCCTTCTTTGTGCCCTGGATGCCCTGTTCTTGCTTCATCGAGAGTGGTAGACATGTGGACAAGACATGGAGGCACTCTCCATCACTGGGCTGCACCCCAGACTCTAGGAGTGCATCCATTTGTGTGATATTTTGGGGGTGAATTAGCAGCATTAATTAATGGGTTGGAGGGAAGGCTGGGAAAAGGAGGAGCATTCAAGGATGAGCCCTGGGTTTCTGCAGGAGGGTTGGGTGGAAGGTGGTTGCTCCCCTCTCGCCATCTTTGTATCTCCTCCCTGCCCTCCACATGGGGGAACCCAGCAGCCTCTCCTCTTCTCTCTGAACCAGGGTCGTCGGCCTCCATGGTGGCCCTCTGCTCCACGGTGCCATCACTCGCCCTGACGTCGCTGCTGTGCCTGGGCTTCGCAATCTGCGCCTCTGTGCCCGTCCTCCGGCTGCAGTACGCCACCTTCATCCTGCAAGTGATCAGCCGCTCCTTCCTCTACGGAGGCAACGCCGCCTTCCTCACCCTCGCGTGAGTGGGTTTGGGGCGCATGAAGTGAGGGTGGGCCTGGGGGCTAGCCAGGTGAGGGAGGCAGGGTCTTTGGGGAGATGGAGGCTGGTGGGAGGGACAGAACAGTCGTGTGCCTGGGCCTTTCCGTCTGTTTTCTCTGCTGCTGAGGTCTACCTGGCGAACTCCTATTCACCCTCCAAGGCCCCACCTTGGTTCCCCACGCCTAGGGAAGTGTTGGAAAGACAGCGCCTTTCCTTCTTTGTGCCCTGGATGCTCTGTCTTGCTGCATTGAGAGTGGTGACGTCATCTGGCATCTGGGAATCCGCGTCAGTCTTTTCCTTGGCATCATCCCTGGACTCTGTCTTTTCTAGGCTAGATGGGTTGAAGGCAGGAGCAAGGGGGAAGGGGAAGGGCTGTGTAGGGTTGGGGTGTGGAGCAGGCCTAGGGCAGGGGAGTCAGAAGCCAGAGGCCAATAAAGTCCTGCCAAGACCAGGCCTTTCTTGAGAGGGAAGAAGGCCCTCGACGCTCACCAAACCCTTTTGCCTCTCTCCCCAGTTTCCCGTCGGAGCACTTTGGGAAGCTCTTTGGGCTAGTGATGGCCCTGTCAGCCATCGTGTCTCTGCTCCAGTTCCCCCTCTTCACCCTCGTCAAAGGCCCCCTCCAGGATGACCCCTTCTTTGTGAGTACTGCGGGGTGTCACTGCCAGGCTTTTCTGATCGGGGTGATTCCAGTGGGCTCCAGCAGGGGGCGCTTCCAACCGGGCCAAGGTGGTGTGTCCCTGCAGGAACATTTCTGCATAACAGCTTCCCCTGGGTCTGGGTTTCTCCCATGGAGTGAGTGTGTGTGTGTGTGTGTGTGCGTGTGTGTGTGTGTGTTTCTGCTTGTGAGAGCAGCACAGGACAAAGCTGGCCTGGGTTCTAGGTCCTCAGCACACATTTGGGTTACGCTGTGGTACCGTGGGGCGGAAGTTCTGTGATCTCACTCACCCTCAGACCTCAGCACCCCTGCAACTGGGGGGATGCCAAAAGAGCATGGCCTCTGGATTTTTGCAAGTGGGGAAACTGAGGCTCAGACATTTGGGTTGTGTGGGGGTCAAAGAGATAGTCCAGTGGGTAGGGCTTTTGTCTTGCATGTAGCACACCCAAGTTCGATTCCCAACATCCCATATGCCCCCCTGCCCCAACCCCGCAAGCCTGCCAGGAGGGATCCCCGAGCACAGAGACAGGAGTAAGCCCTGAGCTATGCTGGGTGTGACCCCAAGCCCTCCCTCCACCAACAGAGTGATTGATTTGGGGATGAGGGAGCACAGAGATCTCACTCACATTACGCCTCATGTCCTGAGCTCAGCTCTGTTGGCTTATGTAATTATTTATAAAAACTAAAAATATTGGGTCGGAGAAATAGTCCAGCAGGCAGAGTGCTGATCTTGCACTTGACTGACCTATGTTTGATCCCTGGCACCCTATAAGGTTCCCTCTGCCATTCTAGGCCTCCAGGAGTGATCCCTGAGCTCAGAGCCTGGAGTTAACTCTGAGCACTACAGGCTGTGACCCCAAAACCAAAACCAAACTAAAAATGTACAAACACCCAATCAGCTTAATCAATGGCTGAATATATAACAGTACTCCTAATTAAAAAAAAAAGGTCTGTAACTGCATCATCATAGATGATTCATTAAAATAATAATAATAAAAAAAGTACAAACACCTCAGGGCTGGAGCAATAGCACATTTGCCTTGCATGCAGCTGACCTGGGTTCGATTCCTCCTTCCCTCTCACGGAGCTCGGCAAGCTACCGAGAGTATCCTGCCCACATGGCAGAGCCTGGCAAGCTCCCCGTGGCGTATTCAATATGCCAAAAACAGTGACAACAAGTCTCACAATGGAGATGTTACTGATGCCTGCTCGAGCAAATGGATGAACAATGGGAGGACAGTGCTACAGTGCTACAAACACCTCTGGACCACACACAGCAGTACTCAGGGGTTACTCGCGGCTCTGTGCTCAGGCGTGATTCCAGGAGTCGCTCCAGAGACCTGTGTGCAAGGGTGCCAGAGATTGGACTGGGGTCATCTGCATGCAAGGCCAGCCCTTCCACAAACCCGTGCACTGTGTCTCTGGCCCCTCTCAGCTTCATTGGAAGATGAGCGGGGGCAGGGTAGATGGCAGAGCTCAGGGGAGAGCACCCGTCTCCCTAGGTGAGGCCCTGCACACAGTCCCAGCACTTCACAGAATGAAATAACAAGCGGGATGAGAGTGTAGTAGTCCAGGAACGTACCTGGGGGCTGTGACCATCTGAGACTGGCTGGACCGTGGAGGCAGGTGACCCTCACAGACTTCAGAAAACACAGGGTCCTGGGGCTGGAATGATAGTCCGGCAGGTAGGGCATTTGCCTTGCACACAGCCAACCCAGGTTCAATCTCTGGTACGCAATATGGTCCCCCAAGCTCCGCCAGGAGTAGTTCCTGAGTGCAGAGCCAGGAGGAACCCCTGAGCATCGCTGGGTGTGACCCCAAAAGCAAAAGAAAACAAAAAACCACAGAGCCCAGCCGGGCATGGCTCTTGAACACGTAATTCTGTGCTCTTCCTCGAAGCTCTCCCCACCTCCCTGCCTCGCCCCGTTCTTCCCCTTCTTTATCCAGGCAGAGTGAAAATCAGGGCCCAGCCCTTCCTGGGGTCCACATGGCCGGACAGTGATGGGGACGCTCACTGGGTTTCTCACTGCTCGTGGGCATTGCCTGACTTTTTCTTTCTTTCTTTCTTTCTTTCTTTCTTTCTTTCTTTCTTTCTTTCTTTCTTTCTTTCTCTCTCTCCCTCCCTCCTTCCCTCCCTCCCTCCCTCCCTCCTTCCCTCCCTCCCTTCCTCCCTCCCTCCTTCCCTCCCTCCCTTCCTCCCTCCCTCCTTCCCTCCCTCCCTTCCTCCCTCCCTCTCTCTCTCTCTCTCTCTCTTTCTTTCTTTCTTTCTTTCTTTCTTTCTTTCTTTCTTTCTTTCTTTCTTTTTTGCGTCACACCCTGCAAGGGTCAGGGGTTACTCCTGGCTCTGCACTCAGGAATCACTCCTGGTGGTGCTCGGGGGACCATATGGGATGCTGGGGATCGAACCCAGGTCGGCCGGGTGCAAGGCAAACCCCCCCCCGCTGTACTATCACTCTGGCCCCCTCAAACGACTTTTTCCTGGTGTCGTCTGTCCCTCTCCAGGTGAATGTGGGGCTGGTGCTGATCACTCTGCTCACCTTGGTCCACCCCGTCCTGGTCTACCGCGAGTGTCAGAGCAAGTAGCAGAAAGACGGTCGCACTCTCCGGCCCCCGAGGAAGCTTCTGCCACTGTCACACGCCCCGTGCACACGACGCCACAGCCTGGGCCCTTTGTATCGAATAACCGTTCTCTCCTGAAACACGAGAAACTTGAGTCCTTCACTGCCAGCTGCTGCTTCCCATCAGCATAACAGGATCTCAGCGGCCACGTGGACAATCTTCAAGCACTTAATTTTATTTGTTTGTTGGGTTTGGGGGCCACACATGGTGGTGCTCGGGACCTACTCTTGGCTCTGTGCTCAGGGATCACTTCTGGGGCAGGACATATGTGGTGCTGGGGACTGAACCCAGGCCGGTAGCGTGCAAGGCGAGTGACCTCCCCACTGTACTCCCGCTCAGGCCCTCTGGGTGCCTGAAGTCAGAGTGTGGAAGGTGGCGCCCCCTGCTGACTTTCTGCTGACGGGGATGTCGTCCTAGCCTTGGACCGCCTGGCATTTGGGTGGCACTCAGCTCTCCTGCAGGGGCACAGCCTGGGCAGGGACTGGGCTCCCCAAGTCAAAGGAGCCATGGGTGGGAGTGGGGATTCCCAGGCCCAAGTCCCAGCTCTGCCTCTGATGCTGGGTGACCTTCAGTGACCCCGTCCCCCTCCCAAGCCTCAGTTTCCCTTCTGTAAAATGAGGGTGTGTGGGAGTCGGAGATTCTCTCCGGCAAGTCCTGGGAGGTTTTAAGGACAGTGTTGGCAAGTCACCCCAAGAGGCTTGGGAAACGGCTGACCCGTTTGGCCGAAGGATTTCTGTCACGGCCTTTGGGGGTTGTCATTTTCCTGCGAGGGAGGAATGTTTACTTTGGGCGTTGTGTAAAGAATCTCTTTGGGGAACCATTTTACAGAAAAATAAAACCTCACTGCCACAGTCAGCACGGGGTTCATGTCTCTGTATGTGTGTGCCTTTGTGGGTGAGTGCACGTGAGTACGCATGTGTATATGTGCACCCATGTGCCTGCACGGGTGTGTGTGCACACGTGCTCGTGTTGGCACACGTGTGGTGTCTGTGTGCACATGTGCACACATGCATATGTGTACTTTCATGTGTATATGCACGTGTAGATATGGGCTTCTACAGGTATGTGCATGATTGGGTGCACGCGTGTATATGCAAGCATGTTCATGCGTGGGTGCGTGTTCATGCCATATGTGCTCACGTGTGTTTGCATAATGTTCATGCACATGTGCTCGTGTGTGTGCATAATGTGTGTTGTGTTCTGGGGAATGTGCCGGGTTCGGGGTGGCGGGGTGGGGAATGCTGAAATACATACAAGAACAGTGAAATTGGGCTGCAGTGTCCTAGTATGTCCGCGGGACCCGCACAAGGTGCCACCCACCGAGTCCTGGGGCATAGGCTGAGAACCCCGGAATCCCTGGAAGCCCTGCCTCCACACCCCACCCCCACCCCCCGCACTCAGAAGGTGGGGGGGGGGATGTCTCCATGAACAGCAGCATTGGCAGTGACTCACAATTTCCTCACCTGCAAGTGCAGTTAATCATTTCTCTCCCTGAGGGCGATTGTGAGAATTGAAAGTCTCCTGCTAGTGCCTGGCACGTGGTGGGAGCATGTGAGCGTCTGTTCCTTATATACTTCAGACCAGAGAGAGAGGGCAGCGAGGAGGGAGAGGGCGAGGGGCTGCAAGGGAGAGAGGAGAGGGAGTCTGGAGCATGGCAGGTCTTTATTCTACTTGGCCTGAGAGGGAGGGACTAGGGGAGGAGGGGAGGGAGGGGCTGACAGCAGGACCCTCCCTCTTCCTCCCTCCTCCCTCCCCTCCTCCCATCCCCTTCCCCCCTCCCTCACTCCTTCCTTGTTTTCCCCTCCCTTCCTGCTCTTTTCCTTCTCTCTCCTTTCCCACCTCACTCTCCTTCCTTCCCTCCTTCCCTAATTTATGTTAACCTACAACCAGGCAGGTGCTGGGATTTCAAGCCGCATGAGCATTGAAACTTTAACTTTTCTGTGAACGTCAGGGGTGATTTCTGGGGTCCAGATGGGGGACCCCACTAAAGTCCCCCACCAGAATACTCTGCATGTCTCCATGTTATTTTAGCTAAAACTTTTCAGTGGCTCCTGCTCCCCAGATGGCAAGAGCCCAGACTCTGGTTTGGTCTTCAAGGCTCTCGGCAACGTGATTCCAACCTGTCACCCACCCTCCATTGGTCCTCCCACTTCTCAGAGGGGAAAGCTCATCCCTGGGAGCCAGATTCCGGAGCAGCTAACTCTCTTTCCCTTGTGCTAGGAATGAACCCCGTCTTTGCCTGGCAAGGAAATCTTGGAGTCTCTGGGGTCTGGCCAAAGTGGCACCCACCTCCTCTAAATTTTTTTTGCTTTGATTTGGGGTCTAGGATCGGGGTCACACACCTGACAATGCTTAGGGGTGACTCCTGGCTCTGCACTCGGGAATTACTCCTGGCGGAGCTTAGGTACCATAGGAGATGCCAAGGATTGAACCCAAGTTGGCTGCATGGAAGGCAAACACCCTCCCTGCTACACCATCACTCTGGCTCCCTTTGAAAATTCTTCCCATGGGCTTCTGGGAGCTCTGCATCCACTTTCCTGTTGTACCTGGCTCTCAGCTGGCCCCAGGTGTGGTGTGCCATTCCCGGGGTCCCTACCAGGGCTGGCTGAGAAGATGATTGTGAGAGAAATGGCTCCTTTTTTGTTCCAGCCTAAGAACTCACTGGAAAGGGAGAGCAGAGAGTCAAGGGCATGACTAGGGCAGTGTGGGGCAGTGGGTAGAGCTCAGAATGGGCGGGGGGGGGGGAGTGTCCAGTCAACCTTTTTTCCATCCTGGCTCTGTCACGGGTGTTGCCTGGGACCACCCCCACTTCCCTCAGGTTCCTTCCAGCATCCTGGTAGAAGCACCTGCCCCAGTCCCCAGCACAGTCATGAGGGGCTGGAAACCACATCCTCGTGCCTGGTGCCCCAGAGGCGCTCAAAGATCACAGCAGTTCATAGGGGAACTTCAAAAAGGGCGTCCATCAGCTGGGGAATAGATGAATCAGTTAAACTGCGAGGAAATATTGATCCAGCGATGAGAAAGCAGGAAGAACGACTGTGTGCGAGGACATGGAGGAACCTTGAAAACATTCCGCTAAGGGAAAGAGGCCAGACAAGAGCGAGCGCATCCCCAACCCGGTCCAGCTCAGAGAGGGGGTGTGCAAACAAGCAGGAAGTCAGTCGGCTGGGGCTGGGCTGCGGCGGGGAGGAGCAGGACCCTGGCGAGTTTCTCATCAGAGTGGTACAAAGCTTCTCCGATGCACTGTGGCATTGGCAGAGCACCTGGGTATATAGAAAACCTTGGCTGGGCTCACCTCGAGGGAGGAGGAGGAGGAGGAGGAGGAGGTGGAGGAGGAGGAGGAGGAGGAAGGGGAGGAAGAGAGGGAGGAGGAGAAGGAAGGGGAGGAGGAGGGGGAGGAGGAGGAAGGGGAGGAGGAGGAAGGGGAGAAAGAGGACGAGCAGGAGGAGGAAGGGGAGGAGGAGGAGCAGGAGAAAGAAGGGGAGGAGGAGGTGGAGGAGGAGGAAGGGGAAGAAAAGGAGGAGGAAGAAGGGGAGGAGGAGGAAGGGGAGGAGGAGGAGGAAGGGGAAGAAGGAGGAGGAGGAGGAGGAGCCACCACCTGCTGTTCAGGAGCCTGGAGCACCCGTGTCTCTTTCCTGATGAGTCAAGTGAGACTTCCGGTGGTGAGGTCCATTCCAGACGTGGCACTCTGGGAAGCTAGTTTTGAAACCCAGGACCGTCAGCCTCCTAAGGTCAAATTCATTTTAGATGTGACCTTTGCTTTACATTGATTCTTATGTAAGAAACATCAGGTTATTCTTGTAAGAAATCAGAAAACAAGAAGTGCACGAGGAAGAAATCACTCTTATGGTTATGAGGCTTGCCTGTCTTTCCAGTCAGGGGACTGTGTGTGTGTGACCACAGGCCTTTTACTTCACCAAACTGTTTCCAAAAGAGAAATTGTTGGGGTTGGAGAGATAGTATGGCAGGGAAGACTATGGCCTGGGCTCATTCTTCAATACCACAGGTAATCCCCCCGAGTCCTATCAAGAGTGAGTCAGTCCTATCAAGAACAGAGCCAGGAGGAAGCCCTGGGCTAAGCCAGATAGTCCCTGAGAGAAAACAAAACAAAATACAAAACAAAAAAGCAAGGGGCTGGAGCGATATCACAGTGGGTAGGGCGTTTGCCTTGCAGGCAGCTGACTCAGGTTCGATTCCCAGCTTCCCATATAGTCCCCCAAGCACCGCCAGGAGTAATTCCTGAGTGCATGAGCCAGGAGTAACCCCTGAGCAGTGCTGGGTGTGATCCAAAAAGAAAAAAAAAAAAACCAACAAAAACCAAAAGCAAAACACAAGCCAACAAGCAAGCAATCACAATCCACAGAATTGTTAAAGGCAGCTTACAACCTGGCATCCTGGTCATATCACAAGGTATTTCTCCCCCACCCACCAAGGGGGCTCCTTTACACATGCATGTCAGACTACAGACCCCTCCTCCAAGGCAGTTCCCCACTCCGCAACCCAAGAAGGGGCCCTGATGACAGTGAACCATGAGAGCAGCCTTGGTCAGCAGATTGGTGAGTATAAATCATGAAAGAATTCTGGGGTGGGGGCAACTGTTAACAAAAGAGCTGCCTTGGGAGTTTCTGGAGAATGACATCACACCCATTAATCATTGTCCCTGACTCCCAGGTTTGCTGTTTTATAGTCCAAGATGTTGTCTTCTGACTTCCCAGTGGCTGTTGGTTCTCAGGTTTAAAGCTAGGAGCCACGAGCCCAGTGGTAATTCCTGAAACTTTTTTTCCCTGCCAGCTGGTCACAGGACAGGTGATTCCCCAAAGACCGGCTGTGGCTCTGGGGCACAGTCTTTGTTTTGTTTTCTAAAGCATTTTTTATTATAATGCAGTGATTTAGCAAGTTGTTCATAATACAGCTGTTTCAGACTTTAAATGCTCCAACACCCTATAGTACAGCGGTCAGGGCATTTGCCTTTCACGCGGCTGACCAGGGTTCAATCCCCAGCATCCCATATGGTCCCCCGAGCACTGCCAGGCGTAATTTCTGAATGCAGAGTCGGGAGTAACCTTTGTGCTTCACTGGGTGTGACCAAAAATGCAAAAAAAAAAAAACCACCCCAAAAAAACCCAAAACAAAACTCCAACAACAATCCCACTACCAATGTGATCTTTCCTCCTCCAGTGTTCCCAGTTTCACACCCACTGCCTCAGCCTTCCACCCCCCTTGCAGCCACAACTTTACTTCATATATTGTTTGATACAACACAGAGGCAAATGGAGTTATCAAAACTTAGATCAAGATGAGTGAATTTGTGACCATTGCTATCTGTCACAATGGTGGTACTAAAGTTCTTGCCTGAGGGTTTGCCAGCTTGGTTGTGCCAGTTGAGTCTTCTGTGTTATTGTTTATGTTCAGGGAACTTGGTAGCTTATCTTGGTAGCTTCCCATCAGACTGGGTGTGATACCACTGTATGGGCAGTACTATGAAATTTGGAGGTGCTGCGTGGCCGCATATGTGACCGCGTAGTCCAGGAGCTATAGTACTGGATTGATTTAGTAGCGTGGCAGTTTGATGAGTTCAGTTGTGGAGCTGTGATATTCCTGTGTCAGAGGGGGTCAGGTGTGACTGTGGTCTGCTGGGCCTTCATGCAGAAAGGGAAATCTGTGGTTCATCTTTGAAGGGACATCCCCACCTGCCTCCAGCACAGGCTCTGACGCTTTGATGGCAAGGGGCCCCTGAGTGGACATGTCCTGGTCGGCCCTGGCATATGCAACTGTGTCCCTATCCACACTAGGGATAATTTATTTATTTATTTATTTATTTATTTATTTTGGCCACACCTGGCAGCACT